GCTTTCATCACCGCACCGACAAAGTTCCGACCTTGGTCCGAGTGCACACGTTTCATGACGCCAAAACGAGAAATAAACTCATTTACAAGAACATTCGCAATCGTAGTAGCCTTTTCATCCGCGAGGGGATACGCTTCAACCCAGCGTGTGAAGTGATCAGTGATCACTAGCAGGTGTTTGTAGCCTCGAGCGGTTTCCGGCAGGTTGGTCACAAGGTCCATGGACACCAGCTCCATCGGCTCGGACGCAGACAACTGCCCCATACTCGCACATGGGCGGGGAGTCGAAGAGTTTCGCGAGGCACAGCGGCGGCACTGTTCGCAAAACTCAGTCACCGTACGCTCCAGGAGCGGCCACCAAAACCTGAGTCGCGCAACTTTCGCCAGCTTTGAAGCGTTAAAGTGCCCACCCGACGGACCATCATGAAGCGACCCCAGCACCACAGGCACGAGCTGGGGTGGGACTACCAGCTGCAGCTGGTCGTGCCCCCTCGGCCCAGCCCGGAACACTCTGTACAGAACATTATCAATCAAACGCAGACGTGACCACTGCCTCCAGTACGGCAGAGCGCCCTTTGACACGGAGGACTGGGAGGGCCGCTGTGTGCTCCCAGCAAGCTGCCTCTTCACCTCCGCCATGGCGGGGTCTGAGTTCTGCGCCGAACACATGAAATCAGAAGGCCACATGGACTGAACGTGGCGAACTGCGACGGGAGGCGACTGAAAATCCATTGTGTCTGTCTGTGTAGACACCTCCTGCGTGGGATCCGGCCTCCGACTGAGCGCATCCGGAGCCTCATGTAGCCTACCTGGCCGATGAACAATCTCAAACTGAAACTCGCCCAAAATCTCCAGCCACCGCGCCAGAAGCCCGTCAGGGTTTCTGAAATTCACAAGCCACTGCAGAGCGGCATGGTCTGTGCGGAGCGTGAACTTACGACCCAAAAGGTAATGTCGGAACTGCTGCACAAACGTCACAGCTGCGAGTAGCTCCTTTTTAGTGACTGAATATTGCCGCTGGGATTTAGACAGGCTTTTACTCCCCCTCGTTGACCAATTCATTCCGCGAGCCGGTCAGGGTGGTGGGCAGCGGAAGATCCCCTGGAAGGCGAATCCCCCATCGTCGCTGAAACGTCTGCGAAAGGAGGCTTGGGAAAAATACAAAAGCCTTAGGTCAGAACATGGTAGGAAGTCGCATCTGACCACCCTGGCGCTGGAAGGTTTTCAGCAGGCCAACTCGCAACTTAGATCATTTGCCGCATCATCGCAAATTGAGTACGAGAAATCACTCATAGCAAGGTCTAGAGATAATCCCAAGCTGCTACACTCTTACATTAGACACAAGAAGCAGCTTCGCTCTTCAGTTGGTCCTCTTCGTCTTGACCCTGATACCATATCTGACGACCCCAAGGAGATGGCTGACTGCTTTTTGGATGTGTTTACTGGCATACACGCTACGACGATTCCAGATAAACCAGCTGCTCACCAGCGAAGTGATACTGTCATGGCTGACATTGACATTAGCCTAATTGACGTACATTCTACACTCAGTAACCTTGATCCGAACTCAGCAATGGGCCAGGACGGCTTGCACCCAGCCCTGCTTAAGGCATGTGCTGCAACTTTATGCACACCACTTCTCATGATTTACAGGCAGTCTCTTCTGGAGGGAGCGCTGCCCTCGGCGTGGAAATCTTCGCTCGTCGTACCGATATTTAAGAAGGGTTCTCGTAACGACCCAATGAACTACAGACCAGTATCGCTCACGTCTGTATCTTGCAAAAGTCTTGAAAGGATAATTTCCAAAGAGCTCTACGCATTCTTCATTGCAAATCAGATCCTCAGTGACGAACAGTTCGGCTTTCGTCCAGGACGATCCACGGAAGACCAGCTACTCCTGACCTACGATGAGGTAACTGTAGCCTTGGATCTGGGTCATCCCGTTGATCTAGTCCTGTTCGACTTTTCAAAGGCTTTTGATGTGGTGCGCCATACCATTCTGCTAGAAAAACTCCGGTTAGTCGGTGTCCAAGGGCGACTTATCACATGGCTGACAGATTTCTTGGTGGGGCGTACGATGCAGGTTCTTGTTAAGGGCACCACGAGCTCAGCTGCGGAGGTTCGGAGTGGCGTTCCTCAATGATCGGTTTTAGGACCCATTCTCTTTCTGGTTTACATCAACCACATTGCGTCCAGTTTGTCGTGCAGTTATAAGATCTTTGCTGACGATCTTAAAGTATTTATCAAATTAGACAACGATAAACACAACACTAGTGAAGAGGCACTACAAAAGGATATAGACTTGCTCCACTCTACGGCAGAGTCTTGGGGTCTCAGCATGAACCTCAGGAAGTGTGCCGTCATACGATTTAGGCGACGATTCCATGACTTCGAGCCCGGGGCATACACACTGGCTGGTGACACAATTCCCTGCGTTACGTCATGTAGTGGCCTGGGTGTTATCATCGACAACGAGATGAAATTCCATGAACACTGTGCCAGCATAGCAGCGAAGGCTGGAGGAGTTGCTCACAATTTCTTGAAATCGACCAGGTGTCGCTCGCCTGACTTTATGACTCATATACTGAAATCTCACATTCGCCCCATTCTCGAGTACGCGTCACCGATCTGGAACAGTGGCTATGTACAGGATCTCAAAAGATTAGAGTCTGTTCAAAGGCTCTGGACTCGCAATGTGATTGGGCTCCGCAATATGGAATATGGTGATCGCCTAAAGGAACTTGACCTATTCTCTGTGAAGGGACGCCTCCTTCGAGCCGATATTATCAAATGCTGGAAGATTTTTCACGGCCACAGTCAGATATCCCCGGAGATCCTCTGGGATCTGGAGGCCGACAACAGAACGCGCGGGCATAGTAGAAAGATAAAAACGTGTCGGAGTCTCATAGATGCAAGGTCACGGTTTTTCACCCACAGAGTCGTGCGCGATTGGAATGCCCTCCCAGATTGGCTGGTGAACGAGGAGTCCCTGGTGCAGTTTAAAAAGGGACTGAAAGCCGCACTGGGAAGTAGATTGTTCGAACACACAGGATAAGAGAAGGCAAACGATTCACATCTCATCCTTCATCCCCCCCCCCCAGGTAAGCGCCCCACCCTTCCCAAGTTGGGGCGGGGTTATACGCGCCTGGGCTACCTATCATATTCCGCCCTTACCCCCTAGGTAGCTGCTGCCCGCCCTTCTCGAGCTGGACCGGGTGGACTAACCTAGGCTACCTATCCTGACCTTTCCTTCCGAGAACGTATCACATTTCGGTACCCTCTTTTCTCACTTACATAATTGATCATCTTGTCTAGGATTCTGGCACTTAAAACACGCACCAGTTTTCTTTTTTCAGTGTTTTACCAAATGCAGACGCACCATTCCAATTCCTTGCCTGAGGTCCAGCCATCTGCCCACCCAAGGAATTGGCGCGTCTCTGCACGCAATAGGTTTCCACTCCTTCCTTTACGAGCCGAGGTTGTGGAAACCTAACAGGTGAGTAACAGGTGAGTTTTACTGTCAAATGCCACTGCCCGCTCACCCTGTCCATCCCTCTGCAGCAGAACCGCGCCCATCTTTGACCCTGAACAATCCACGTCTAGTACGAATTCGCTCGCTCCCGGGGAAAAGTCAGGGTATTTCAGAACCGGAGCCGTGCACAGCGCCGCCTTTAGCGAGTCAAAAGCCATCTGAGCCTCCGCATCCCAATGGAAGTCTACGTCTTTCCTGGTGAGGTGATGCAGCGGAGCCGCGATAGCAGCAAAATCTTTGATGTACCGTTTAAAGTACGTTGCCAATCCCAAGAACTGTGACAATGCCTTCTCATTCATAGGCACCGGCCAATCCTTCACTTTGTCTACCTTTCCTGGATCGGGACTGACCCCATCAGACGACACCACGTGACCCAGGTAAGTGATCTCTGATTGAAAGAATTTGCACTTTGAGAGGTTGAGAGTCAAATTCGCAGCCGACAGACGACGGAACATCTTCTCAAGACGTGAAAGATGCGTGTCAAAATCGCCATAGAAAACCAAAATGTCATCAAAGTAGCTCACTGCATCAGTGGGAGCCAAATCACCCAATACAAGACTCAACAGTCTGGCGAACGAACTCGGGGCACCCACCAACAATCACTTTTTCATGGCTGGAAGCCCCAAGCTGGTAGTCTGTACTGTACTTTTTCGGCCACCTTCGCAGCCAGTCTCAAATGAAACGTAAACAGACTCAAAGAGCTGGCACATCTTTCTAACTCAACTATCAACGACACGCAAACCAATCACCTCCGAGAGGGACAAATAAACGGTCCGGCCGCCGCTATCTGCGCTCAGACCGGGGGTGACAGTATCTGACTTATGTAACTGTCAAGGCCAGGAGTGTGTTTATCCGACCAACACCAGCGCAGTCATAGGACACTGCACGGCAGCGTCACCTCACCCTTCGGACCGAAAAACGGACGGAAAAGATGGAAAAAGTAATCGCAAAGCATGACCGTAGGATGAAGCTACGTAATGTGTTGGAAGCTGAAGAAAAGCAGCTACATATTCTGCACGATTTTCATGCAAAGTATTGTTATGCCAGAAATTATGGAAATGCAAACACACGTACATTGCACATATGAACAAAATTCGTGGAAACACCATTTGTGCTGTCCTGGGAGCACACTTGACTTATGATAGTATAACAAAAGCACATGAAACTTGGGGCTAGGACTTGTTTCAAGAATATGAAATAGTGAGTACAAGTTCAGAAAAATCTCCTCTCTGGCCAAGTTGTCGCCTCAGTGGTAGTCCATTCGGACAGTTGGTTCAATGTGTTCAGGTTTCAATTCCATGGAGCTGTCACAGTGCCTCAACACAATGTTAAACTTGCCCTGAGCCTGACCAGCCCATGTCATCAATCACAAGTCACAGTGACATAAATTGGAGCACCCTCTTCAAACACCACAGGCCTATATCACACAGATCACAGTTCACAGAATACCAGACCCCGCAGACACTTACTTTATGCTGGGTTCTGAAGCGCTGGCACGGATGATGGTGGCAGGGCGACCACCAGGCGGTGGAGGTGCAGCGCGAACTGGTTCTCGCATCTTGCCAGATAACTGGGTGCTGTGCTGCAATCAGAGTTGTGAGTGTGCATTCAGCATTTAGTGAGTTAAAATTTCAAAAAAGCAAATTAGATTATATCATAGGATCCAGATCTAAGCCAGTACCAGTACCCAAGTCTCAATCATGAGAGCAAGTAGGTAATTTGAATCTCAATCTGAATCCAAAAACCACATCTGAAACTTCAGAATAAAACAAGATTGAATGACATACGATACATTACCAGGAAATACAGGCAGTACATGATATAAAGCCAATGAAATCAAGAGCCCATGGGTCCTGAACCCTGACTTTTAGGAGCACAGAATTTGACAAAAAGAATTGCAAGCTTACCTAGCACTGAGTCAGAGTTGGTCAGGTGGTTTCGATCTGAGCCACAGAAAAGATGTGCCTTCCTCTAATTACTTAAACTACTGAACAGAAACACTAGCTATGCTACAAGAAAAAAAAAATGGCAGGACAGCACAACGCCAACCCACTCAGACTCCAAGCTCAAATGCGAATCTCCAGGTCCAGTTCCGTTTGTTTTGAGGTTTTGACCTATTTACTCCAGATGGCAGCACGCTCCAAGAGACATGATCAGCTGATTGGAATAAAAACAACGAATATTTTGATTTCTTTTTATTTCATATATCAATTTCTTTTTTGAATATATTTCAGGGAATAGAATACATAATACTAATGATTTTGTTATAATTATCGGGACATCTATCACAAAACTAGGCATTAACTGCGCATCAAAGACAATTGCAGCGCCGCGATGTTGCGGGAGCTGAGCAAGGTGATGGATTATGAAGAATTTCATTGCTTGAGGCAAAGGAGCCGGAAGTGATCCGGCATTCCCCGAGCTCTTCCGGTTGGTGGGGTGGTGTGGTACTGGATTTTATTTGTCAATTTTTGCTGATCTGTGGGGATTTTAATATTCCACAGATCAACTGGGCACTCAACTTTTGTGCAGCACCAGAATCCCATTACGCTCACAAGTTTCTTGTCTCCATTCATGATTGTCTACTATTCCAGCATGTTTTGGCACCCACTAGGTACAGAGAAGGGGAGTCGCCTAGCCTGCTAGACCTCCTATTCACTAACGAGGAGGGGATGCCGTCTAGCCTCGAGTACTTACCAGGTCTGGGTAAGAGTGACCACATAGTAATGAGATTCAATCTCAAGTGCTACAGTACCTGTTCCGAGCATGTACAGGAAAGGCTAAACTTTCACAGAGCCAACTTTGGACAACTCCAGGAGATGATAGCTGAGGCAAACTGGGAATGTCTGGCTTCACTGGACATTGAGGCAGGGTACCAGTATTTTAGGAATTCTCTGACCTCTTTTGTTACTGCCACTGTACCCACTGCTAGAAGTTCCAAATCGAGGAAAAATATCTACATGACGAGCCATGCCCTTAGGTTGAGGAAAGAAAAACACAGTCTTTGGCGCACATACACGTCCACTAAGGATCCATTGGACTTGGCTAGATTTAGAGTCTGCAGAAATAAGCTTCGAGTCCTCACACGCAAACTCCGTAGAGACTTCGAAACTCAATTGGCTACCGATTTGAAAGAGAATCCGAAGGCCTTCTGGAGGTATACTAACTCGAGACTAAAAACAAAGACAGGTATAGGGGATCTTCGAAATGGCTCAGGAGATCTGATGAGTGATGATAAGGCGAAGGCTGACATTCTAAATGCGCAGTTTGGCAGTGTTTTTACACAAGAACGGCTCGCAGACATTCCAACCCTTGCCAGCGCCAGCACTACTCCAGAGGTAACCGATATCCGAATCACACCGGAGGCCATTGAACAAAAGTTACAGGCCCTCAACCCATCCAGTGCTCCTGGACCAGATAACATACACCCAAAGGTGTTACGGGAGGCACGCCGCGCTCTGAGCCGACCTCTTTCGCTACTTTTCCGGAGATCTCTGGACTTGGGCATGGTTCCTCGGGACTGGACACTGGGGAGGATAGTACCTATATTTAAGAAAGGGAACAGACAGGACCCTGGCAACTATCGGCCGGTCAGCCTTACCTCTGTTGTCTGTAAAATACTGGAATCCCTCATCAGAGACACAATCTATCAGCACTTCTCAGAGAACCACCTGTGGGCAGATTGCCAGCATGGCTTCCGGCCAAAGCGCTCCTGCAGCACCCAGCTGGTCAAAGTGCTTGATGACTGGAGCAGGGCCCTAGAGAATCATAAGCCTGTCGATGTAATGTACCTGGACTTCCAGAAGGCTTTCGACTCCGTTCCTCACCAACGACTCCTCTATAAACTCAGGAGTCACGGGGTGAGCGGCAAGCTGATCACATGGATCGGGGCTTTCCTGAGAGCCAGGAGACAGCAGGTAGTGATTAATGGTCAGTCATCTGACTGGTCGGAGGTGGTCAGCGGGGTACCCCAAGGCTCGGTCCTGGGTCCACTACTGTTCTTGATTTTCATTAATGACATGCCTGAGGTTGTTGGTTCCTCGCTGACGATGTTCGCGGACGACACCAAGCTGTACTCCACGGTAGCCTCTACTCTCGCTGCGTCTAGCCTCCAGTCTGACCTCGAGGCTCTGGTCAACTGGGCGGACGCCTGGCAACTCCCCTTCAATGAGGCGAAGTGTAAGGTCATGCACCTCGGACGAAACAACCCAGCAAAGCAGTATGTGATGAGAGACTCTGAGATGAGCGTCGTGCGGGTGGAGAAGGATCTGGGCGTGCAAGTCGATGACGAGCTGAAGTTCAGACAACATGCTTCAGCAGCCGTAGCCAAGGCCAACCAGATTCTCGCTGTGATTCGTCGCTCATTCGTGCTGATAAACGAGTGCACGCTGCCGCTGCTTTACAAGTCCCTGGTGCGCCCTCACCTCGAGTACGGCAACCTCGTGTGGGGCCCTTTCAACAGGGCGGACCAGAAGCTGGTGGAGAGGGTACAGCGCAGAGCTACGCGCATGGTGGCTAACCTTCGCCACCTGCCCTACCAAGAGAGACTCAGGGCTCTGAAACTTCCATCGCTGTACTACCGACGCAAACGGGGCGACATGATATTCACCTACCAGATGTTCCATGGAGGGGTTGATGTTGAAGTCACGGATCTCTTCTGCCCCGCCACGGGTGCCGTTACACGAGGTCACCCACACAAGCTCCGCAAGCCAGAGGCGGTCAGCAGACTGAGGAGAGCTGCATTCGCAGTCAGGGCCGTGAACGACTGGAACGGCCTACCTGCTCAAGTGGTCAGTGCCCCCACCGTGGACTCGTTCAAGGCGAGACTCGATGCCCACTGGGGCCATCACTGGTATCATATACCAGACACGGATTAACAAATGGCAAAAGGGACAGGAGCTCGGTTAGAACGGGACCTCCAGGCCGAGTTGGCCTTTATTATGCCCGAACACCGTAAGGTAAGGTAAGGTATTTTTACATAAGCCAGCGATTCTGGATACATCCGTGTGTTAGAGCATAGTTCGACTGTATTCGATGACCGATAATTGTTGAATCAGGAGGATGCCCACATTTTGATTTCAGTTTGGCATCTGAAATCCGTTTGAACCAGTTTCTTGATGGCGATGGTATTAGGTTATTAGTAACCTATATATCTCGATATAACTTGTTTTTTTTTTCATACATATGTGTAACAACATTTTCAAGAGATTTTTTAATGTCCTTGCACACAATATTTTTACCTGGATTTCCGTTCCATGTGTATTCTAGACTCACTGGACTGGACTGGAAAAACCTGCTATGCCAAATATGTCCAGTGTGGTAGCAGGAATGTGCTGAAAGGTCAGACATTTCGTTTTTTGTATTGTCATTGTCTGTGAGAAAAACGAAATGTGCTGAAAATTTTGAAGCACAGTAGTCACCAATTTTTTCAGTGCATGGCAGCCACCTAATTTTTCCAAGCACATTGGTCAATCTAGCCAAGATCATATTAGCTGTAATCTAGCACCATCTAGCATCTAGCATCTGTGAATCTGCTGCTGGCAGTCAGACGTTCGGCTGGCTCTGGCAGTGGGGATTTGTCCATGTCTGTCTACCAGCAGTGGATTTGAGCCGATACTGCAGATAGTTGAATGTTGGTGGTGCAGTGGAGATGGTCATGGTCATGGTAATGCCCTAGATGGTGAAGCTGTAGAAATTCAAGACATCCCAACACATCATTGCTTATTTTTGTGCCCCGAAACCTACCATGGGCTATGGGGAATGATTTGTCTGGTTAGTATAGCATTGGTCGGGAGGTGTGCACATGTGCTTTATGTAAAAGTTGCTTAGTTTTGGCACAAATAAACATCCAACTTTTGGCACAAATCATACTGATATTTCAACTCAAAATGACTTGCTCTAAATTACAAACTATTAGGGCCTCACGGGCATCCAGGGTAGTATAAGGGTGTTTTCCAGTCTGGTCATGGTGTGAATTGCAGCTTAGCAGTTTGAGGGATAGACGGTTGATGATGTTCATTTTTTGCTTTGATGATGATGCAGCTGAATAAGTCAAGTGTCAGATATGCATCACAGCTTATCTATGTTGTATGATATCTACAAAAAACTCAATTTAAACAAGCATCTGTCAGACTGTTGTCCCAGACT